TATCGAAGTGTTGGCAGGGCACATTACTTTCTATAATTCTGAGGGAATCCATTTCCATGGTTTTTCTTGCCTCAGAAGCTGACCATATTTCTTGACTCTTGGCTTCCTTTTCTCTGTCTTGAAGATCCAGCAGTGGTGGGCTGAATGCCTTCATGTATTGATCACAGCTGTCCGATCTCTTTAGCATTGGTTGCTTACTTTTAAGCAGGAGTCTAAGGAGTCCTCTGAATAATCCAAGATAGCTGAACCATTTCTACAATTAGGTGACTGGCAACTTTAATTTTATGGGCAATCCTGATACTCTTTCAGGTAATGTAATACATTCTGTGGTTGTGGGGAGTAGAAGTGGACACTTTTTGGAAGCCATTGTTCATCTATCAAAGCTAAAAATGGTGAGCATCTTTTAATATGCTTATTTGCCATATTCTCTTCAGAAAAATGGCTTTGTGTTTTGACCATTTGCTAATTGGCTGCTTTTTGAAAAATTAAATTGCTATTTGAATTTTGAGAGTTTTTCCTGTGTGTAGTTTTTATTTTAGAAACAAGACCTCTGTCTGGTCTTTGATTTACAAAGCTTTCCCCTCACCCTATAGCTTGTGTTTTCATTCTTTTATGAAGGCCATTCATAATAGAAAAGTTCTGTATTTGGATATGGAAAAAATTTTGTTAATCTGTTTTTATTAGTTATGCTTTCATTGGCATTCTAACAACTTTTCACCAAGCCCCAAATCCTGCAAAAATTTATATCTCTTAAAAGTTTTATGGGTTTACATTTTAAATTTAAGTTTACTATCCATTTTAATGTTTTTTTTAATAAATAGGTGCCAAGTTAGGCCGTTTTTTTAATTTGCCTCCAGTGTCCATATGATAGGACCAGTACAAGCTGAAAACTGTACTCTATCCATAGAATTGCTTTCTGCCTTTATCCAAAATTAATTGGTCATGACTGTATGCAGGTAAATTGTTTTATTCCTTAAAAATAAAGATAAATGTGGGGCTGGGAAGGTAGCTCAGTGGTAGAGCACTTGCCTTGCATGCCTGAGGCCCTGGGTTCGATTCCTCAGCACCACATAAGCAAAAAGAAAAAAAGCCGATCCATTCATAGGGGCATCTGGGTTGATTCCATATCTTAGCTATGGTAAATAATGCTGCAATAAACATAGTTGTGCTGGTAGCTTTAGTGTGGTCTTGTTTGTAAGCATTTGGGTAAATGCCCAAAAGTGGGATTGCTGGATCATAGGGGAGTTCTATGTGAAGTCTTTTGAGGAACCTCCATACTGCTTTCCAAAGTGGTTGGACAAGTTTACATTCCCACCAACAATGAAGTAAGGTTCCTTTCTGTCCACATCCCCTCCAGCATCTGTTGTTATTAGAGTTCTTGATTTTTGCCGTTCTATCGGGGGTAAGGTGATATCTCAATGTTGTTTTGATTTGCATTTCTTTTATGGCTAGGGATGTTGAACATTTCTTCATGTGTCTATTGGCCATCCTTCTTTCTTCTTCAGAGAAGTTTCTCGAAAATGTGGTATATATACACAATGGAATTCTATGCCTCCATCAGAAAGAATGACATTGCCCCATTTGTTAGGAAATGGAAAAACTTGGAAAAAATTATATTAAGTGAAGTAAGCCAGGCCCAAAGAAACATAGGTCCCATGGTTTTCCTTATTTGCAATATCTAGTATATGTACTGAGTCAAGTGGAAAAGGTCAGATAATGTGATGTCAGGAAAATGAACCCTTAGATATGTATTTTAATGTTTTTTCTTTCATGCATGTGTTTCTAACGAATTTATAAGATTATCTCTTTGTTGCTTTGTATGTCCCTTCCCCACAGTATAACCCCTGCTTTCACTATATTTGATGTCAGTATAACTTGTGGAGGAGATGGGGAAAAACCAGTTGTTTAAGGATACAGGTGGATCTGATGCAACAATGAGAAGTACAAGTTGTCATGTCCAAAACGAGCTTTACAACGTCGGTGCAGGGGGGGGAGGGGGGGAGGGGAGAAGGAGAAGGATTGGGATGGGGGGGAGGGGGGAGGCTGGGAAGGGATGGGAAGGGTAAACAAAGGAGGAGGCTGCAATGCTTGGTAAGAAATGTACGCATTATCCTGCCCATGCAATTGTAACCCCTCTGTACAGTATGTTCACGAATAAAATAAAATAAAAAAAAAAGAAAAAAAGCCGAAAGTGGACTGTGGCTCAAGTGGTAGAGTGCTAGCCTTGAGCTGAAGAGCTGAGGGACAGTGCTCAAGCCCAGAGTTCAGGCCCCACAACCGGACCCAAAAAAAAAATAAAGATAAATGTACATATAACTAAAGTTTAGTAACACACAATAGTTTCACAAAAATTTTGGTTGCATTAAAATATTTTATAATAAGTGATATAAGAAGGAAGTATTTGCAGCTTTAAAGTCTAAAAATATAGGGTGATGATTTGCTGAGATATGAGTTCCAGGAGCCTGAAGAGTAATAGTTAAATGACTTTGATCAAGGTCATTTTCTTCCCTGGGCTTCAGTTTTACTTCATATGAACCAAGAACTAGATGATCCCTAGAGCTTTTAGGTATTCTGGTGCTTAAAGTGTGTATGGAAACTACTCATCAGTGAATTCAGTATAAGAAATGAGGGGACAGCTCTAGGCTGTCATTCTGGTTTAAAATCTATAAAAGAGCAAATGCATTTGCCCCAGAAGAAGGCTTTATAATTTCCTAAAAGCTCTTAGGATAAAAGAGCTACTGTCAAAGTACTTTGGAAAATTTAATTGTACCTATAATTAATCATAACAACATAGAATGTGCCATAATACAGTATTATGGCACACAATTGGGCATGTGATCTCAGTATTTGCAAGACTGAAGTAGGAGGATGTGAATTAAAGGCCAGCCTGGATTGCCAACCAAGCTACTGCCTCAAAATTCAAAAAATGATGGGAGAGAGGAAAGGTCACACACTTCTGGATTTTGTAGTGGGATTACTACATGATGTTTCTTCATATTTGATTGACAGAATATAAACAAGTATGACATATAAATAAGAAAATTATAATCAGTGTTTATAAAGTCCTATGCACTTAATAAGAAGAATTCCAGTGGAGAGTTTAACACTCTACAGAGTATTTATATTCTTGGTAGAAATAAACACACAGTATATTGATTATGAGATGATACCTACCACATGGATTTTAAGTAATAATTTAGCTATTACATTTTAAAAGGAAAACATTACATTTTGTTTACTTATTTATATGGCACTGACTTTATACCTACAGTACAGTAGAGTTTATGCTTTTTTGGTTAGAACAAATTAATTTGCTCATCTCCTTTGCTTCTTTTAACAAGTGTCAAGATTATTTTTGTTAGCAGAAGCTCTAACCTTGGTAAAATTATAAAGAACTGCCAAGTTCGTCTATCATATGTTATTGTATTTAGGTTTCAAAGGAAATCAAACTGACATTATTTCTATACAGTGACTTTTAACCCCCACAATATAGAATCAGGTGAAACTAATTTAAGTGATTTCTCCCCCCGAACCATCTTTATTAAAAATGTGTACTTGAACACTGCACTGGCAGTGTCTACCTAGGAGATGATTAGAAATGCAGAATCTTGGGCTAACACCCAGGCTTACTGAAGAAGTATTTGCATTTTTTTTGTTTTTTAAAAATATTCCGCTAAACTCAGGAACGAGACAAGGATGTCTACTTTCTCCAGTTCCCTTCAATTTAGTATTAGAATGTCTAGCTACAGCAATAAGACAAAATACAAACATAAAAGGGATCCAAATAAGGAAACATGAAGTAAAACTCCCGACTTTGCAGATGACAAGATCTTGTATTTAAAGAATCCCATGGACTCCACTCCCAAATTACTTGAGCTGATTTGAAACTTTGGCAAAGTAGCAGGGTATAAAATTAACCCTCAAAAATTAATGTCTTTCTGGATGCCAACAATGAGAAGAATGAGTCTGTAATCAGGAAAGCAACTCCATTCGTAATAGCCCCACAAAAAATAAAATACCTAGAAATTAACTTAACCAAAGAAGTGAAGGACCTCTATGATGAAAAATTTAAAAACCTGAAAAAGGAAATCAAAACAGAATTTAGAAAGTAGAAGAACCTCCCATGTTCCTGTATTGGAAGGATCAACATCATGAAAATGGCAATACTTCCCAAGGCTATCTACAAATTCAGTGTAAAACCTATCAATATTCCAACCTCATTCTTCAAGAAAATAGAAGAGGCAATACAAAATTTCATATGGAACAATACAAAAACCTGAATAGCAAAAACATCCTTAACAGAAAGAACAGTGCTGGAGGAACATCAATACCAAATTTCAAACTCCACTACAAAGCCATGGTAATAAAAACAGCTTGGTACTGGCACAGGAACAAACCTCAGGACCAATGGAATAGAATTGAAAATCCAGAAATGAACCCACAGACCTATAGCCATCTAATCTTCGATAAGGGCGCTAAAAAAAATAGAATGGAAGAGAGACAGCCTCTTTAGTAAATGGTGCTGGCAAAATTGGTTAATCACTTGTAGAAAACTAAAGCTAGAACAATGCTTGATAAGAAATGTATTCATTATCTTGCCCATGTAATTGTAACCCCTCTGTACAGTATTTTCACAATCAAAAAAAGAAAACTAAAGCTAGATTCTTATATATCACCATGCACCAGAATCAATTCCAAATAGATCAAAGACCTTGGAGTCAAAGCAGACACCCTGAAAAACATTACAGGATGGAATAGGAGAAACCCTTGGTCTCCTTGGCACAGGCCAAAATTTTCTTTTTCTTTTCAAGGTCCGGTCATGGGGCCTGAACTCTGGGCCTGGGCGCTGTCTCTCAGCTCTTCAGCTCAAGGCTAGTGCTCTACCACTTGAGCCACAGCGCCACTTCCGGCTTTTTTTTGCTTATGTGGTGTTGAGGAATCGAACCCAGGGCCTCAGGCATGCAAGGCAAGCGCTCTACCACTGAGCCACCTTCCCAGACCCATACTGTTTAATAACCAAGATGCAAACTAATTTTGTTGTAACAAGCCTAGACCAATTCTATCAAATATGTCATTGGTTAGATATCCAGATTCATTTAACGTTTTGAAAGCTCATTTGACAACTGGTCAAGTCCCTCATGCAGACCGGTTCCTTGGGTAGCACAAGTGGCTTGGACATACCATGTTCTGTTACGAAGAGACTGAAGATCTAATTTATCTGTCATTTCACTGATGGCCATATCATTTGGTAAATCCTGTTTGTTCGCAAAAAGCAGCAGGACTGCATCTTGCAGCTCGTCTTCCAAAAGCATTTTTTGCAACCCATCTGCTCCTTCCTGAACTTTTTCGCGATCATTGCTGTCTACCACAAAAATAAGACCCTGGGTATTCTGGAAGCAATGCCTCCAGAGAGGCCTAATTTTATCTTGACCACCAACATCCCATACTGTGAAACAAATGTTCTTATATTCTACTGTTTCTACATTAAAACCAATGGTAGGAATGGTGGTGACTGTCTCTCCTAACTTCAGTTTATACAGAATGGTCCTTTTACCAGCCGCATCCAATCCAACCATCAGAATGCGCATCTGTTTCTTGCCCAACAGGCGGGACAAGAGGGAGGAGACAGTGAGGCCCATGGCGGTGGTGGCACTTGGCCATGCGCACAAGAAGGGGTCTGGGCGGCCCAGGGCCTTCTCCTTTCACGCTCACGATAAAATGAGCTGAAGGGGAGAGAGAGCTGAGGAGAAAGCCAGCGGCTGAACCGCTCGCAGGCCGGAGTTAGTAGGGCAAGGATCTGGGCAACCCCAGCCCAGGTTTGCTAAGATCCCTGCTGCCGCCTCACAGATTCTGTGCTTTGGGTGCTGCCAGGGCCTGCGCCTGTGCAAAATTTTCTTAATAGAGACCCAGAAACACAACAAATCAAAGAAAGTTTGGACAAATGGGATTGCATGAAGCTGCAGAGCTTCTGCATGGCAAAGGACATAGCCAGCAAGATCAATAGAAAACCCACAGATTGGGAGATGATCTTCACTAGCCATACAATGGATAAGGGTCTCATATCTAAAATATACCTGGAACTCAAAAAATTAAATTCCCCCATCAAATAACTGCCTGATAAATACGTGGGCTAAAGACTAACAGAGAAACTTTTCTAAAGAGGAAATAAGAATGTCCAATAGACACATGAAGAAATGCTCAACCTCTCTAGCCATAAAAGAAATGCAAATCAAAATAACATTGAGATACCACCTCACCCCAGTTAGGATGGCTAAAATCAAGAACTCTAATAACAACAGATGCTGGAGGGGATGTGGACAGAAGGGAACCCTATTGCATTGTTGGTGGTGAGAGGGTAAACTTGTTCAACCACTTTGGAAAGTAGTATGGAGGTTCCTCAAAAGACTCCACATAGAGCTCCCCCATGACCCAGCAGTCCCACTTTTGAGCATTTACCCAAATGTTTACAAACAAGACCACACTAAAGCTACCAGCACAACTATGTTTATTCCAGCATTATTTGCCATAGCTAAGATAGGGAAGCAACCCAGATGCCCCTCAGTAGATGAATGGATCAAGAAAATGTGGTATATATACACAGTGGTCTATGCCTCCATCAGAAAGAATGACATTGCCCCATTTGGTAGGAAATGGAAAGACTTGGAAAAAATTATATTAAGTGAAGTAAGCCAGGCCCAAAGAAACATAGGTCCTATGGTTTCCCTTATTTGCCATAACTAGTATATGTCTGAGACAAGCAGAAAAGGTCAGATAAGATGATGTTAAGCTAAATGAACCCCAAGATAAGGACACAGTGTTTTTTTCTTGCTATTTTGTGTAACATATTTACAAGATATTTCTTTGTTGCTTTGTATGCCCCTCCCCTCCCTCCACACCACGGTATAACCCCTGTTTTCACTGTATTTCATGTTGGTATAATTTGTGGAGGGGAAGAGAAAAAACAAAATGTTTAAACAGGGATACAGGTTGACCCATTGCAACAATGAGATGTACAAGATGCTATGTTGAAAAATGAACTTTACAATTTAGGCGGGGGTGGTGGGGTGGTGGAGTGAGGGTTTGTAGTTGTGGCGATGGGAGAGAAGGGAAAGGAGGGGAAAAACAAAGGAGAAGACAACAATGCTTGATAGGAAATGTACTCATTACCTTGCTCATGTAACTGTAACCCCTCCTCTGTACAGTTTTCTCACAATATAAAATTTATTAAAATATTTTTTATTGGGGCTGGGATGGTGGCTCACTGATAGAGTTGCTTGCCTCGTATGTGTGCTTCCCTTGTATGCATGAGGCCCTGGGTTCCATTCCTCAGCACCACATAGCAGAAAATAGCCAGAAGTGGCGCTGTGGCTCAAGTGGTATAGCACTAGCCTTGAGCTGAGGAGCTGAGGGACAGCGCCCAGGCCTAGAGTTCAGCATGCCCAACTGACAAAAAAAAAAAAAAAAAAGGTATTATTGTAAAGGTGATGTACTAGAGGACATAGCTAGCAAGATTAATATTATCAGACAAGGGCCTCATATCAAATATATATTTAGCTATATTTAGATATGTTTGTTAAAATATATTTAGAGCTAAACAAATTAACCCCCAAAAATAAATCCTCAAAGGATCAATGACCCAATTAATAAATGATCTAAAGAGTTTAAGAGACATCTCAGAAGAAGAATGGCCAATAAGAACCTACATTAAAAAAATCCTGACTTGTTTTCATTTCTTGGTATTCACTTTGATAAACATCATTTTATAGGATCATATGCACCTAGCTATTGAGCCCTTATGATAATCTCCTTGTTTTATATGATAATATTGTTTTTTATGATAATCTGCCTTGTTTTATTGTACTGTGTGTGGTTCTTTTTTTCCCTTCTGTTTTTTCCCTTTTGTCACTGTTTTTGATTTCTATACCCTTTGTCTTGTATCTAAGTTCATCTGATTTGGGGAGTAGAAAGGGAAGCACAGAAATGGTGGGACAAAGGGTGAACTAATTCAGCAGTGAAACTCACTGGACACTATGTTGGAAATGAACTATTCAATTTGGGGGTAGGGGACTTGAAGAGAAAAAAGTGGGAGAAAATGAGGGAGGAAGTGACACTGTTCAAAAGAAATGTACTTATTACCTGATTTATGTAACTGTAACCCCTCTATACATCACCTTTACAGTTAAAAAAAAAAGGATCATGACCAAATGTAATGCAGTCTACTGAAATATGGAAAATCCATCACTAGAAAAACTAACAAGATTCCGAGGCACTAAGGTTTACTTAATATTTTAGCTATGTTAATTACTTAGTTTTGGCAGTGTAAAGATGTTAATGTTTGGAGAAGCCATGTGAAGAGGAGATGTGAATCCTAGGGTACTTTCTTTTGCAAATTTACTGTAAATTTTTAGTATTTCCAAAATTTTAAAAAAGTCATTTAAATATCCAAGGTGAGGAGATTATTCATTTATACCTTAAAATTTTAATTCACTTTAATTTTAAATCGCTACTTTTTTCTTCTTTTTAAGTATTATTATTAAGGTGATGTACAGAGGGGTTACATTTATATATATCAGATAAAGAGTACATTTCTTTTTGGACAATGTCACCCCTTTCTTCACACTTTCCCAGCTCTAAATAACTTTGTTAAAAATAAAGTTTCTCTACCCGTACCCCATACCTCACAAATCAGAATTGGGAATGTGTGTGTGTGTGTGTGTGTGTGCATGTTTGTGTGTGTATGCATATGCATATTAGAGAGAAGTGATCTTTGTGTCTACTTAAATATAAGAATCCTAGTTTAGAGCTTTCTTTTTTAAAGCTTCTATTCTTTGAAAAATGTAAGTGAACCTGCTAGACTTAGGCCTGTAAATGACAGACTGTATGTAGTCTGACATAGGACTCTTGTAAAAGTTTGCTAGTTTATAGCACAATGGGTGGGGAAGAGTATGAACATTCTTTACAAGTAGCACAGAGCACGCTGCAGACTAGCTCCTTGGTGAGACCACCTGGTGAGAATTATTTAAAAATCCAACCATTTAGGTGTAACACAATTGTCCTAAAGGCATACAGAAACTGGAAAATAATTTATTTAAAAAAATCTATCAATTCTGGATTTGTAAACAGGAGCTACCTCAGCAATCCTTCTCAGTAGTAGTAAAGTACAGGGAGTTGAGATGGGCTATATGATGAAGAACATCATCAACTGACTTTATTAGAACAGAAGCTGAGGAAGTTCAAGACTCCAGCCTTATAGAAAACAAATGGAGATCATACTAACACACCTTAAAGTAAATATTCATGGAAACTCCAATGTCAATAAATTAGGTAACTTCTACAAAACGGACAAATTCCTACGGAGACAAAAATGACCTAAGCTGATTCAATAGAAAATAAAAGCCATGAATGAACCTAAAACAGGTAAAAAGATTAAGTTAATAATTCAATAATTAGGAACAATGAAAATCCTAGATGCATATGGTTTTATAATAAATTCTAACAATATTTTAAAAAAGTAAGCCTTTTCCCCCTTCAAAATGAAAGAAACTAAAGAAATTCTCATTAACTACTAAACTAAAAACATATTACTGAAACCTCTCTTGTAGTTTCTGAAAAAATGATAAACATAGAGTCAGCTTACGATCCTCTACTCCTTTATTTTTTATATATATCCAAGAAAAAGTCAACCTTGTGTACACAGAAACTCTTAAGTAAATGTTGTGTGTGTGTTTTTTTTTTGGGGGGGGTCCGGTCATGGGGCCTGAACTCTGGGCCTGGGCGCTGTCCCTCAGCTCTTCAGCTCAAGGCTAGCACTCTACCACTTGAGCCACAACGCCACTTCCGGTTTTTTTTCTTTTTGCTTATGTGATGCTGAGGAATCGAACCCAGGGCCTCAGGCATGCAAGGCAAGCGCTCTACCACTGAGCCACCTTCCCAGCCCCTCTTAAGTAAATGTTGAAAGCAGCATTGTTCATCTCAGCTTGATTAAAAAAGTGGAAGTAACCCAAAGTTCATCAACTGATGAACTAATACACAACATCAACACTCATCAAACGAATAAGTTGATCAAAATAAAATCTATCTATAATATGGAATTTTCTGTAGAAATTAAATACAACTGAGTTTTATTTAGAAATTAAATACAACTGTTGCTGCCTGCTACACTGTGAGTACAACTTGAAAATATTAAGCGCAGTGAAGGAAGCAAGTCCCAACGTAACATACGTTATATAATTCCATGTACATGAAGGATTCACCATAGCCATATCTATGAAAAGCTGATTAGTTGCTGCCTAGGGCTGAGAGATTTGGGGCAAGTGGGGACGTAATTACTGATGAATATGAGGTTGAAATGTTATAAAATTGATTGTAGTGATGATTCCCTAACCCTGAAGTATGTAAACTGTTGAATTGTGCATTTCAAATGATCTGTGAATTCCATCTCAAGGTGGCATGGTATGTGGCAGTCATTTAATAGTGGTCAAGGTTACCACCTTGAGTACCCAGAGTCAATCATTCCATAACAGACATGTTACCTAGCAACAACATTCTCTCCCCATTGCTTAATAACACTGGTGCCTGTGTCATAGTGTTAGGAATATTAAATGAGTAAATATTGGAAAACACTTAAAGAAATACGTAAGCACAGGGTAAACACTATATCAGAGTTTGATAAATAGTGGATATGAGATTAGGCAACTACAATTTTGTTCCTTGGGAACAAACTCAGAGTTTGACTTTCCTCTTTTAGGTTGTTAAGAGGGT